GGCCTCCTCACAATTGTTCTTACGTGAGAGCCCATTGTGTCAATCCATCTCACCACGGTCTTAGTCTGCCCCTCCACTTTACCAAGCATGATGTCCTCCAGGGACTAGTCCCTCCTGATAACATAGCCAAAGTACTTGAGATGAAGTCTCACCATTCTTGTGTTTAAGGAGCATTCTGGCTGCACCTCTTCCAAGATAGATTTTTTTGGCTGAGGGCGGGGGTGGGGGCAATCCATAGTACTTTCGATATTTTTGGCCAGCACCATAATTAAAATGCATGGATTCATCTGTGGCCTTCTTTCTTTAAAGTCCAACTTTCACGTGCATGTGTTGCAATGGAGAACAGCATGGCTTGGGTCAGGGCGCGCTGCAATCCTCAAAGTAACATTCTTGTTTCTCAATACTCTAGAAAGATTTTGTGCAGTAGATTTGCCCAGTGCAACCCATCTTGACTGGTGCTGCCATGAGCATTGATTGTGGATCAAAACAAGATGAAATGCTTGACCACTTCGGTCTTCTCTCCACTTATCGGCGTGTTACCTGGTGGTCCAGTGGTGAGGATTTTGATCTTCTTTACATGGAGTTGTCATCCATGCTGAAGGCTGCAATCTTTTATCTTCACCAGCAAGTGCTCCAAGTCCTCACTTTCACCTGACAGGGTCTGTCATATGCACATCACAGGTTGTTAATAAGCCTTGCTCCAATCCTGATGCCACATGCTTCTTCATATAAGGCAGCTTTGATTGAACAAGCATGCAGCGCAGCTGATAAAGAAAAGACTTCATTTCTCCCAAGCTACCTGCTTTTAAAGATGCACATCTGGGGCTACCAGCATTCCTGTGCCTAGCCTTCTGGTGAGGCTTGTTTGCAATAGAAGAAAATGACCTCCACATGCACAAAGAAACAAAGAGGTGGAGAGTCCTGACAATGTTCAAGTCCATGAATGGAGGTGCTCTGAGGCAAATTCCACCCCCAACTCCACAGGCTTGTCATTGTGAGCCAATATAGCTCGCCTTCATTAAGTGCATATGAATTCAGTTTCTGTTGCGTACAAGCAGAAATTTCTAAGACTTTGTAAGAAACATTTATTGGATAACAGAGGAATGTGGAAATAAGTTTCATAAAGTTAGGAGAAGCTTCATAGGTTGTAGACTATCAGGCTTGGTCTTTAAGGATGAGGAGGATTTCTACATGAGAAACAAGGAATTTGGGGAGGCAAGAAGATAGTACATTACACTTAATCTGATATGGGTGAAACAAAAATGAAAAAGTAGGGTCAGCTTGGATGCCCAGGGGAATTCCTTGAATGCTTTGCTGGTGAGTTTGAACTTGACCCTATAAAGCGATGACTACAAAGTGTTTAAATAATTTTAGGCTGGTGGCTGCATGGTCAAATTAATTTGGGGGGAAGATAATTGGGCACAGCGTTGAGGTTGTAGGGAAAAGGGAAGACATCAGTGCCCAAATAGGAGGCTGTTGCAATAAACCAGGTAAGAAGCAGTGCCGGCCTGAGCAAGGGCTGTTCAGAGGGACTGTGCAGAGTCCGATGGGAACCGTTAGTTGGTTCTTCCCTGGACAGCAGCGAGGGAGGGGAGGGGGCAGTCAAAGACAGTGCCTTGGTTTCTGACTGCACATGAACCCAGGGGGAAGTGCAAGTTCTGGGGCATGAAGATCGAGGCCACTAGACATGGCTGATGCCCATTGGGACATTCAATTGGAATGTCGAACAGACACAAAGAAGTAGCGGTGCGGAGTTCAGCAGGGATGTGAGGGCTGCTGACATCCCATAGAAGTCACTGTTAGAGAAGCAGGGCAACATGAGCCCTTCCAGCAAGCTCCCTGCCTAGGAAACCAAACAAGTCCGTTGCAAGGGAGTTGGACCTGACTCTTGGCAACTTGGTGTGTAGCAGCGTGAGCTGCTCCCCAGGGCTTTCTTGGCAAGCAACTTCCGAGGACAGCTTGCCAGACCTTCCTTGGCAGTTCTGGCGGGGCTTGAACTGCCCTCTTCGGATTGATTGTCATTGCTGCGGGGTGTGCTGAGTTCATCAGGACTCATAGTGACCCTGAGAGAGAACGGCCCCATAGGGTTTCTGAGACAGTTATCGATCACCAAGTCTTATCTTCCCCAGAGCTGCTGGGTGGGTTAGAACTTCCAGCCTTTCAGCTAATGGCTAATTTCTTACCTACTGTACCACCAGGCCTCCTCCCTCGGCGAGTAGTCAAGGGCAAACTATTTGGATAGCTTACATTCTAATCAAGTCCCAGCTGGAATGTATCTTGGTACGAGGTTAATTGATCTTTCAATTACGGTTCAATACTCACAACAGAGACACGATTTTTGTTCTATTGGCATAACTCACAACAGCCGGTGTGAAACCACATTGTATTTTGCAGGATTTGCCAATTAACTATTTCTTTTTGCTTAGTTATTTATTTTGATTTAATTAAAAATATATTATTGGCACCCACCTTCATTTCTCTGGTTGCCCTGACATTTGCTTCCCCAGTTCTGCTTTGGTTGCTCCACTCACGTGGCTCTTCTAAGTGCACCTGGTGGACAGCTCAGGAAACCCTGAGTGGCTGCAAAGCTGTAAACAAGTGCGCTTATCACCGCCGCCTGTCACCTGAAGAGAGTGCTTCTTGTGTATTGATAAGGATGTTTCAAAAGACACCAAGTTAATTGTATTAAAACTGAGAACATCAATGTTTCTTGAGCTGCTTTTGGGCTCAGCCAGCTTCAAACTTACTGCATCTCCTTTCTTTTTTATTTATCCACTAGGGCATTCCTGAAAGGTTCTCTAGCAGTCCCAGCTAACACACCAAATCCAGTGTGGCTTCCTCTTGCTCCTTCAGGAACCTCCGTTGAAGGGAAACACAGATAACTGCTGGGGAGGGCATTATGCGGAGGGCCAGAGACCTGGTTCTAGTAGCAACTCGATTTACTCTGAGTTTATGGTCTCAGATTGTCAGCCAACGTCTTTGTGTCTTTGTTTCTAGATCTGGAAGGTTCTGATTGGTGCTCACAGCCACATTGATTACAGGTTTGGCAGCTTTAGGCCTATGAAGCCTGGTGGCAGGCTGGTTAAGCACTCAGCTATGAATGGCAAAGTCAAGGTTCAAACCTACCAGCAGCTCAGCTGGAGAAAGACGTGGCAGTCTGCTTCTACAGAGACTTGCAACCGTGGAAACCCTACAGTAGGTCTCCTCTGCCTGTGAGTTGGAATCCACTCTGGCCCTAGGTGTGGCTTGGCTTCAGCGGTTATGCTAAGTTAGTGCAGATGGGGCTTGAAGCTTTCACAGTCCTGTACACCTGCTGGTGGGGACTGGACTGCGTTTGCTGTTTTGACAGGGAAGTCAAGTTTTATTCATCTTTATATCTTCCGTGCACAGTATAGTATCTGGCATGTAGGCATTCAATGAACATATGAGAAGACTAGAGGCCTGTATGCTCTTATGCATACAGAGTCATTTGCATATCAAATATACACTCTGTCAAAGTTCTAAGAACAGTCCTATTGTTGTTCATAAGAAGAGATGCTTTGAGTAATTTTTCAAAAAATCAATGATCAAAATGCCCAGAAAGGAGGTACTTTTATTTCAATGATATGATCTTGGATATCTTTATATTTCAGAACTGAATTTAAACTATGAGACTCGGTGGCCAGAGCTGACCTTTTCCCCCAGAGCTGCTGTGGTGACCACCAGCCTCCTGCTAACCCCACGTTCCACAAGGAGAAAGTAGCCAGCCTCTCACCACGCACAGTGACATCGGGTCCCCCCACAGGCCTCTCGCAGACACAGTGCGGACTTGGATCCAGATCAACACAGGAAAGTGAACACAGCAGTAAAGCGAGCCACACCGTTTCTTTCATGGTTTCCCAATTCATATAAAAATTATGCTCACAACAAAATGTAAGTGTGCAGTAACATGCTGAAAAAGTCCGCACTGCTGTGAGGATTACCAGAAGGTGACAGGCACGAGGGAGCCCTGGAGGGCTGCTGGGAAAACGGCGACAGTAGACCTGCTCCCCACAGAGTTAACTCAAAGCTTCCCTGTGTGTGTGTGTGATAGACAATACCCCAGACACACAAAGTGTACCTTTATGAACTAAATCTGTAAGGCTTAAATTTGATCAAGAGAAGTCAAATGAGATGTTCTTATGTAAGAGCCACCAGCTGCAGTCAAGCCGATTCCGACTCCTGATGACCTCAGGTGCTCCACACGGTGTTCACGAGTTGATTTTGTGGCCGTAGATCAACAAGTCTTTTACTTCCTTCCTTCCTT